AATTGAACTCAGGACCTTTGGAAGAGCAGGCAATGCTCTTAACCTCTGAGCCATCTCTCCAGCCCCATTGGCTTTTAGACTTGAGTTTCTGTCTGTCCTTTTTTCAATTCTCTCTCTCTCTCTCTCTCTCTCTCTCTCTCTCTCTCTCCCCCCCCCCCCCCCATTTCCCTCCGTTTTTGTTGTTGTTTCTTTGCTTGTTTGTTTTTGGACAAGGTCTTATGTAGCCTAAGCTTCCTCTGAGTGTGTGTACGCCACTACACCTGGCTAAGTCATCCCCAGTCACTTTCTACACAGGCTCACCTCACAGTGTCATGTGGCCGAGGCAGGAGGATTGCTGCAAGTTCTAGCCCAACCTGGGCTACCTAGTGAGCCCTGACTTAAAAAATGGAACAAACTCGTCCATGCTGCCAAACAAGGTAATGCAGATTTGTGATACCAGCACTCGGGAGGCTGGAGCAGGAGGATTGCTATGTGTTCATAAACAGACTGGGCAGTGAGCCTCCCGGCCCCTCAGAAGATGAGGCAGGAGAACCCAGCAGGAATCCAAGGTCTCACTTGAGTGCACAGTGAGTTAGTAGTCACTGGGCTACATGGGATTCTAGCAGACTGAATAAAAACCCAACTAACCAACCAACAAACAAAACAACAGTGTAGCTCCTCCGGCCACATGAGGTGGGGGAACAGAAGACATCTTATTGCTAAGATGGGGAAACTGAGGCACAGAGAGGTTGAGAGCACAGTAGGGCTTTTGACTTGGTGGGATGCAGGGAGTCTCCTGCTGTAGCCACACCGAGTTGTGTGTCCCAGGCAGGCTCTGTGGGACCCCGCTGTCAGTCCGGAAGTTTGGCAAATACCAAGGGGTGTGGTTGGGAGCACACTGATTCCTTGTGATTTAAGGCCAAGCACAGGTCGCTGGAGGCCTCTGATCACCCGCAGATGCTCTGAAAAGCGATCCTGGATGTTTGCGGGACAGCTGGGAAGGTGGCCAGGGAGAACAAATGGCGTTTGCTTCCAAGCGAGATCAGATTTGGTGGCTGGCACCACAAGCAGCCTGGGCAGGACCTGGCAGCCCCCCAGCAACAGGTAGGATCAGGGCAGCCCCCAGATCCCTGTGTCCAGGCCTAGTGGCACACTGACAGTCCTGTGCTGACTCTGGCCTCTTTAACTACTGTCTAGCTCTGTTCGTCCTGCACAGCAACCAGCATCTTCATCAGAGCTATCATGAGTGCTCAGGAGACCCTGGGATCCGGCCTGTTGGCTGGTGGCAGTCCCTCAGAAGAGACTGGAGGGGAGGGTCGCTGGTCAGCTCCTGAGAGCTCCCCTCCGTCCCATGTGTGTGTCTCAGCTACTGTGTGTGTTCTGCCCCAATCCTACATGGCGGCTGGGGGATAGGCGGCTCAAGAGGCACTAGTATCCATAGTGTGGAAAGTTAACTAAAGGATATAACAGGTCCCAGACTTTAGCACAACTGACTCCATGATGGAAGTACCACTCAGGCCATGAAACTCAGCATAGACAGCACGACCTGCTAAAAAATAAAACAATAACCTAACCCAGCAAAGTCCATAGTTCTGGGAGAGTCTCTACTCTGCAAGCTCCCCTTCTGGCTGACTGTCCATGTCAACTGAAGCATGCCCACCCAGGGCATGGCTTTGTGCTTCAAAGCTCACCCTGAAAAGGGCTGGGTTACAGAGGACCCCGAACACCAAGGGTGGTCACGAGCCAACTAGTAAAGACTTTCTATTGGCTTAAATGATGTCCAAGCAGTCTTCTCTGATGGCTGCCCTACAACAATGGGGACTCTCTGTGAAGCTATAGGGTCCCCACACCCCTGTAACCATACAGTCCAGGGGTCTCATCTTGCCAGAACAGTTTGAGGGAGCTAATCCTTCACAGACCTGCTAGAACTCAGGTTGATCCTCCTGCCTCAGTCTAAGCGTGGCACCCAGCACCCACTTTCATGCAGTATCTGCTGTCTGCTTGGCTGAAGCCATAAGTGCTGGAGGAAGATGTGTTCACGTTCCTAAATCTCCTGTGACCTCCCTGATGACCTGGAACAAGCCAGTATGGCCCCTCCTGTGTGCATGTGGGCTCTGCACAGGACTGCTTTTCCCCTTTGAGCTTTTTTTTTTTTAATTATTTTATTTATTGTTTTTTGTTTTGTTTTGTTTTTGAGACAGGGTCTTTCTACAAAGCCCCGACTGTCCTGGAACTATGTAGCCTGAATTCATAGACCCACCACTTCTGCTTTGAAAGCACTGGGGTTAAAGGTGTGTGCCACTACACCGAGCCTACTTTTTAAAAAAATAAACATGACCTTTTTATATAATTTATTTAAGTTTATGTGCATTGGTGTGAAGGTATCAGATCTTCTGAAACTGGAATTATAAACAGTTATGAGCTGCCATGTGGTTGCTGGGCATTGAACCCAGGTCCTCTGGAAGAGCAGCCAGTGCTCTGAACCGCTGAGCCGTCTCTCCAGCCCCCACCCCACTTTTTTATTTTTGAGGCAGGCTCTCATGAAGCATAGATTGGTCTACAGTCGTCAAGAATGGCATTGCACTTCTGATCCTCCTGCATCCTCTCCCAGTGTGCCACCACACCCAGCTCACTCTGCATCACTCTGGCCACTGAGCTGCTGGCCCCATGGGGTTGCTGCTGCTGACCCCAGGTGTCCTGCAGAAAGTCTGGAGCTCTAAGCACAAAGACGCTTTGTGTGCCTCTCCAACATCAGACAAAGCCTGAGGGCTTGTTTCCAAAGGCGCCCCATGCCAGCGCAGGTCGGGCTGCTTCCCTTCACCCATGCCCCAAGCTGACCACCATGGAGAGCCAGGCTGCCCCAGGGTCACACCTGTTAAGCTTCAAAATGCCCAGGGTGTGAGGCAGAGGCAGCAAGTATGGTCTCTGTTCAGAAAAAGAAACAAAGGCAGGGGAAGGGCATAAGGTTCAGACATGGGGCCGGAGGGATGGCTCAGCCATTAGGAGCACTTACTGACCCATGCTCTGCTCCCAGCACCCAAGGCACACAGCTGCCTGTAACTCCAGCTCCAGAGGATCTGGTGCCCTCTTCTGGCCTCCAAGGGTCCTGGCATGCATGTGTCTGCACGCGCACGCGCGCGCGCACACACACACACACAAATATTAATTCAAATAAAGGTCTAGATGGCATGTCCGAGTGCACCATCCTGAGCCTTTGGCAAGGGGTGTGAGTCTCACGGCAGGGTTTAGACTACCTGCACATCTGCCTGCTGCACTAACTGGCACAGGGGCTGCACCTTAATTTTTTTTTTGATTTTTCGAGACAGGGTTTCTCCATAGCTTTTTGGTTCCTGTCCTGGAACTAGCTCTTGTAGACCAGGCTGGCCTCGAACTCCCAGAGATCCGCCTGCCTCTGCCTCCCGAGTGCTGGGATTAAAGGTGTGCGCCACCACTGCCCGGCTGCACCTTAATTATTAATTGTTAACCACTGCAGCCAGCATTTGCGACTCCTCAGTTACCAGCCTGCTTCTCAGGCAGCAGCCTGGCTGCTCAGGTTGCAGTGTGGCAGGAATTCTGTTCCCTTAGGCACTGTCTCTGTCGCTAAAGGTAGCTTTAACTAGATCTCTATTGTTATGTTTACAAACAAGACTTGAGATTCAAAGGCTGGGGTGAAAACCTGCTAGCTCAGAGAGGTGGAGTAGCACCTAGCTAACCTTCTGTCCTAGAGGGGCAGTGTTGTCTCCGGACCCAATTAATTTATTTAATTAATGCAAATGCAAATTTTGGGTTCACAGTGTGATCAAATGTCCCCCACCTGCTACTATAGGCTCACAGCCCGCTTTGCAAGGCTGTAAAGTACCCAGCTTGGTTTTGAAGCACTGTCAGTCTTCAGGGCTCTTACTATGAAGTAAAGATTGTTGTTTCTAAAGAGGACCGGTGGCAGGGCTCATCAGGCAGAGCCCACATGGCAGAGGGCGTTGTGTGACCCTACCTAAGGAGATAAACTCATACCAACTGATTCCAGATGGGAACCAACCACAGACCAGTACAGTACCAGCTTGATGAAGCACTGAGTTTTATTTGGGTCACTTACAGAGCAGAAATGACTCACAGACAGCTACATCAGCAGACCCACCCCGCAGGCAGCTTCATAGGTTGGGGTCCTTTCCAGGTCACTCAGCTTGTCTGAGCTGCTCTCAGCAGCTTATACACACCTGGGGGGATGAGGCCTAGAGCATCTGGTCAGTTCAGAGATGGAGCTGTTTCCTTCCTCAGGGAGGGAGCCTCAGAGAGACAGCCACACAGCAGGAGGGAACCGACTCCTGGAAATTGTCCTCTGACCTCTGCACGTGGCACTCAGGAATCCCTCTCCCCACAAATAAATAAAAGTTAAAACTGTTTTAAGTTTGGGGCCAGAGAGATGGCTTGGGTTAAGAGCACTAACAAGTCCTCCAGAGAGCCCAGGTTCAATCGCCAGTGCCCACATGGCAGCTCACAGCAGTCTGTGACTCCAGGTTCAGGGTTCCTGACACACTCACACAATTGTGAGGAGGGGAGCACCAATGCACATATAATTTTAAAAAATAATTTAAGTTCACTGTCATTCTGGATGGGCTGCACAAAAACAATCTCCAGAAAATTCCAAAATTTAAAATAAATTAAAAAATAAATCCTGAGGCTGAGGCTGCACCTTGGTTGGCAGAGGGCATGCCTGGCATGCACAAGAACGGAACCTGGTTCCAGGCTGACCGCCACACAAACCAGGTGTGGTAGAGCTCGAAGATCACCCTGGGCTGCACGGCGGGTTTTACAACAGTCTGTGCTTGACGAGACCCTGATCTTATAAATAACATAAAGGCCCTGCAGAGGAAGAGTTTCGTAGCCAACACCCATGTCAGGGAGCTCCAGGGGATCCCATGCCCTCTTCTGGCTTCCAAGAACACCCACATTCACACACACACACACACACCCACACACTTTAAAAAAAATCTTCAAAGAAAGAAAACAAAAGACCACACATGGTGGGTACCAGGAGCTGTTTAGTGTTGGCGCATGTGCAGTCTCCAAACACAAGACTTGACAAGTGAAGAGAAAATGCTGTCCAGGCAGGAGACCCTATCTCCAAGCTGCCGGGCTGCACTGCAAGGCTGGGTGTCAGCCAGCAGGTGGCAGGCAGGGAGCACCCGAGTCAGGGACTATGAGACGCTGGGGGGCAGGCGCGCAGCTGCTGTCTTCTCCACCACGAAGCCATAGTTATACTGGGGAGAGGAAAAAGGGGGGCTGAAGAGGTGGCACTGAGGACTGGAGAACATTGGGAGTGACTGAGGGGTTGGAGTGCCTGGGGCCTGAGGACACGGGGTGGGGCCTCAGCACTTCATGCACCCCTGCACCTACCTCCTTCTCAATGTCTGCCAGGGATTTAATGGTCAGGTCCCCAAAGGCTGACAAGTTCTAGAGGACAGAAGTGAGAGCGTGAGCCGGGGTCCCACAACGGCACCATGTGCCTTCCATACGCACACTCACCGCGGCCTGGGAGCTTCTCTCTCCTGCTGTGTGAGACCCTAGAACTGGATTGCGGTAAGGCTTGGTGGCAAACGCCTTTACCAGCTGAGCCACCTCTTCTAGCATGCCCAACTTCGCAGATGGCAGCTCAAGTAGCCCAGACTCACTGTGTAGCCAAGGATGTCCTTGCTACAGGGCCTCCTGCCTCTAACTCCCGAGGGCTGGGGTGACTAGGGCACCACCATACCCGGCCCCAATTCTCCCATCTTTCAGGACTTAGCCCACAAACACTGGCCTGGGTTTCATCCGACTCCCCACATCTCTACTCTGGGATCCCTTGGTCTCTCCCCTCACCCACTCAGTCATGGTCACTGCTGGGTCATATGGCAGCTAGAATGTCACTTCCCCGTGAACAGAGGCTGGTGAGAGCTCCCCATCCCAGGGACACTGACTCACCAGAGGCCCGCAGCTCTTGCCCTCGAATCGGGGGTGCAGTGTAAAGGGAACCCCATCCATGGCTGCAATGAAAATTCCCGGGAGGCTGAGGAGGACCCCAGAACACCCTGCAGCCCCTCCCCCCACGACCGTGCCCACCCACGGAGCATAGGCTGATTACCACAGTGGAATCGGTGTGACTGGGACTACAGCTTTCCGGTCCCACATACTCCTGGAACTCACGCCGCATCAACCCACCAGCTCCCTAATGGGCTCCAGCACTCTGCACTCTGTCTGTGTGGGGCCCTCCCAGGAAGAGGGTCATGCAACACACCCCGGGTTCTGTTCTGAGCACCTGCAGAGCTTGAGGCCCCAGTCATTCCACCCCTCAAACAAGTCGGTCAGCAGTTAAGAACCCAGATTCTATTCCCACCACCCACGTGGCAGCTTACATCCCATTTTAACTCCAATTCCAAGGGATCCATCCCCCTCTTCTGACCCTCCCAGGACAATGTACACACTCGGCAGACAGGCACACATGCGAGCAAAACACGCATACACATAAACTTAAAAATAGATCTTAAAAATAAAAGCTTGGTGGGAGGGCCAGTTCCCACCAGAGGCTGTAGTGTCTCCACTCTGCTCACCTGAGATGCCGTAGAGACTGGACGCCTCGTAGACTGAGTCACTCCTCCGCAGCGTGGATGCTCGGGAGCCTAGTCTGGACAGCGTCCGCTCAGGGTGGCTGCTTTTGCTGGGGAGCAAGGAACAGTGACCTCAGTCAGGCTGGAAGCTGTCCTCTTGGCCCGCCTGCCCACCAGGGAACCTGAGGCTCACCTCGGTTGTCTGGGTGGGTCCAGCGACAGGCCCTGCATATCCTGGCTGATAGTGCGCGGCTTGGGCACTGGCCTTGGGGCCTTGGATTTCTTGCACCAGATGGCAAAACCACCCATGTCCCTGGAGCAAGGGGGTGGGGCAGGGAGGAAGCCAATGCTCTGTGAAGCCAGGGCTGAAAGGGTCCTGGGGGACCCATGAGATCCCCGTCCCCACATGCAGAGGAGGGGAAGTGGCAGGGGAGGGTGCTCCAGGATGGGTGCTCCGCCCTACCCCACTCGCAGGTATCCGGGCACTGTCTTGGTCTTCCCACTCAGCTTCACGTCACACACAACCATGTCGGCAGCCCCCAGGGGCATCAGCTTCACACACATGCGTTTCTTCTTGGACACAGAGGCCTCTGGGAGTAGGGGCAGGGGAGTGAGAGAGGGGAGCAGGGCAGGGAGGGGAGCACCCAGCGATGCTCACCATAGTGTTTAGGGGCAACACCGGGCAGCTGCTTAAATCATAAATGGTGAACTCATAGGAGGGGTCACACTAACTTCTAGAATCATTGAAGCAGACTGACCTTTGCTGAATATTTGTGGGGTGGCTGTGGAATCAACAGTGGAGTATATATTTGGCACCCCAACTTCACTTTCCCTGATCTATAACCCAAGGGGGTCACAACAACTGCTCTTTAAAAATAATCTAGCACAAGGCTGTTGTGTGTGCTTCATGGAGTCAGGAAGGCTATTTTATATTATATGTATGTTTTTGTGTTCATGAGCTAGAGTCTCATGTAACCCAGGCTGACCTCAAAATCTCGATGTAGCTGAGGATGGCCTCCTGATGCTGGAAGGCGTGCCTAGTCTATTTGGTGCTGGGGATGGAGCCAGGCCCCATCACATTAAGTGAGAACCCTGCTCTCTGAGCTATTGCCCCAACCCTGTCTCACTCTGCAGTCTGTGCTGCCCTGGAATTCACCACAGAGCCCAAAGTGCCTTTGAGCTGAAAGCAATCGTCCTGCCTCAGCCTCTCGAGTGCTGAAATAAAGAGCCCCAGCTCCACAGCCAGCAGGTTGAGACAGCTGCCAGGGGCTGAGCAGGATCCCTGAGGAGAGGACTGAGGTTCCAGGCCAGCTGGGGCTGCACACTGAGACCCTGCTCCGTCCGAAACAGCAGTCAAAGGAGGGTAGGAGAAGCGCGGAAGCCTGCTGTCTGCACACTGACCTGACCTCTGCAGAGCAGCCTAGCCTGAGTCACTAAAGACACCTTGAGAACCAAGCATCATCGGGGAGGTGGGAAGCTGGGTCAGGCGGGGGACAGGAGGAGGGAAGGCTGAGCTATGCAGAGAACAAGGAAAGCCATTTCCGGCGGACTCGCTGTGCAAGAGCCTGGAAAGGAAAAGAGAATGGCGAGGACTCCCTCAGCCACAGAAGCAGAGGGCAAGCGGCAGTGACCAGGTCAGGAAGGTGGTGGGATTGTTTGTTCTGAGACGGTTTCGCTCCACTTCTCAGGGGAAGCTGAGACTCGCGGCTGTCCTCCTACTTCAGCCCGAGTGCTGACACGGCAGGTGTGTGTCAACTATTTATTTTTGGAGTAATGGGATGAGACAAGACCTCACTCTGTAGTCCAGGCTGGACTTTAACTCCCCACCATCCTCCTGCCTCAGCTTCCCAAGTTCTGCACTGTCAGGTTGTGCCTTTCTGCCCAGCTAGGTCATATTTGGTACCACACAGCCTCTCCCTGTGCCTGTCGTTCTCCCGTGGGCCCACGGATCTTACTGGCGTCTAGAGAGTCGTTGACGGTAGAAAAGCCAGACGGCAGAGGGCCCTTGTCCATCACGATCTGCATGTCCACTACCACACTGTCCTGAGGGTTCTAGGAGTAGGAGAGGGAGCAGGTGGAGGAGGGTCAGGGACGTCAGCGGGCAGGGGGAGGGTCGGGAAAGGCTCAGGTTCAGGCTTCCGGATGCCTGTGCTCACCTTCTGGCTGCCCAGTGGGCTCAGGCACAGGAAGTAGCCGGCCTTTTGCGCGAAGCCGCGGCCGAAGCTGGCGGTCGCGCCCTCCACGGTAGAGGTGATCTGCGGGTCGAGCGGGTCAGCGGGGCTTCGTCCCCTCCCTGCCCTGTCCCCGCCGCCCTCGCCCGCCCCTCGCTCACCGCGATGAAACCCGGCGGCGGCGGCGACAAGGCTGACGACCAGACAAGGCCCGCGAGCGGCTCCGCGTCCGCCCCGGAATCCATTCTCCCTGGGACCTCAGACGGCAACTAACGCCTTCGGACGGCCAGAACCTTGGACTACAATTCCCAGAAGACCTGGCGAACGTGCACCGCACAGCAGCTAGTGCTCATGCCCAGATACTGAGGACCGGTCCGATGTAGCCGTGGGAACCACGCCCTCTGGGCGCACCCTTGAGAGACGTTCGCGCAAAAAGGATTAGTACTTCCGCCCTTAAGAACCACTCAGGGCGAAGCGGGGCAAGAGGGAGGCGGTTCAATTCCCTGTCAGGACTACACTCCCCATAATGCCATGCGACATCACCTACGACCCCTTGTTTCTTTATCAGAAACTGGTCCCGAAAGGCCAAGTGGCCCTCACTTGTCATTCTAATAACTTCAAGAGACAGGTGCAGGATGATGAAATGACGCTTACGACATAGTTACCGACAACCAGGCTTTTTTAATTAAGCCAATGAAAACTACAAGAGTCCTTTAATAGTGGCCAGATCAAGAGTGTAGCCGAGGCTCAGGAGAACAGCGTTTTTTATTTTTTATTTTTTAATATTTGTTTGTTTGTTTGTTTATTTATTTATTATGTATACAATATTCTGTTTGTGTGTATGTCTGCAGGCCAGAAGAGGACACCAGACATCATTACAGATGGTTGTGAGCCACCATGTGGTTGCTGGGAATTGAACTCAGAACCTTTGGAAGAGCAGGCAATGCTCTAAACCACTGAGCCATCTCCCCAGCACCCTTTAGTTTTATTTTTGATTTTTATTGAGCTCTACATTTTTCTCTGCACCCCTCCCCTTCAACCCTCTCCCAAGGTCCCCATGCTCCCAATTTACTCAGGAGATCTGTCTTCTTCTACTTCCTATGTAGATTATATCTATGTAAGTCTTTCTTAGGGTCCTCATTGTTGTCTAAGTCCTCTGGGATTGTGATTTGTAAACTGGCTTTCTTTGCTTTATGTTTAAAAGCCACTTATAAGTGAGTACATGTGATAATTGTCTTTCTGGGTCTGGTCTGGGTTACCTCACTCAAAAAAATGTTTTCTAACTCCATCCTTTTCCTGCAAAGTTCAAGATACCATTATTTTTTTTCTGCTGTGTAATACTCCATTGTGTAAATGTACCACATTTTTCTTATCCATTCTTCGATAGAGGGGCATTTAGGTTGGCTATGACAAACAAAGCAGCTATGAACATAGTTGAGCACATGTCCTTGTGGCACAATTGAGCATCCTTTGGATATAAACCCAAAAGTGGTATTACTGGGTCTTGAGGAAGGTTGTTTCCTAATTTTCTGAGAAATCGCCACACTGACGTCCAAAGGGGCTGTACCAGCTTGCATTCCCACCAGCGATGCAGAAGTGTTCCCTTTTCCCCACATCCTCTCCAGCATAAGTTGTCATCAGTGTTTCTGATCTTGGCCATTCTTACAGGTGTAAGATGGAATCCCAGAGTTGTTTTGATTTGCATTTCTCTGATGACTAAGGATGTTGAACATTTCCTTAAGTGTCTTTCAGCCATTTTAGATTCCTCTGTTGAGAGTTCTCTGTTTAGGTCTGTACTCCATTTTTTTAAATGGATTATGTGTTCTTTTGGTGTTCAATTTCTTGAGTTCTTTGTATATTTTGGAGATCAGACCTCTGTCTGATGTGGGGTTAGTGAAGATCTTTTCCCATTCTGTAGGCTGTCGTTTTGTCTTGTTGAGCGTGTCCTTTGCTTTACAGAAGCTTTTCAGTTTCAGGAGGTCCCATATAGTAATTGTTTCTCTCAGTGTGTGTGCTGCTGGGGTTATATTTAGGAAGTGGTCTCCTGGGTGAATGTGTTCAAGTGTACTTCCCACTTTCTCTTCTATGAGGCTCAATGTGGCTGGCTTTATGTTGAGGTCTTTGATCCATTTGGACATGAGTTTTGTGCATGGTGATAGATATGGATCTAGTTTCATTCTTCTACATGTTGATATCCAGTTATGCCAGCACCACTTGTTAAATATGCTTTCTTTTTTTATTTGATATTTTTTGTTTTTTTGTCAAAAATCAGGTGTTTGAAAGTGTGTGGATTGATATCCAGGTCTTCGATTTGGTTCCATTGGTCCTCCTGACTGTTTTTATGAAATACCAGGCTGTTTTCAGTACTGTAGCTCTGTATTAGAGTCAGGGATTGTGATGCCTCCAGAAATTCTCTTATTGTATAGGAATGTTTTGACTATCCTGGGTTGTTTGCTTTTCCATATGAAGTTGAGTACTGTTCTTTCAAGGTCTTCGAAGAATTTCGCTGGGACTTTGATGGACATTGCATTGAATCTGTAGATTACTTTTGGTAAGATTGCCATTTTTACTGTTAATTCTGCCTACCCAAGAACATGGGATATCTTTCCACTTTCTAGTGTCTTCTTCAATTTCTTTCTTCAAAGACTTAAAGTTCTTGTCATACAAGTCTTCCACTTGTTGGTTAGAGTTACTCCGAAATATTTTATGCTATTTGTGGTTATTGGGAAGGGTGATATTTCTCTGAGTTTTTTCTCAGCCCATTTATCTTCTGTGTAAAGGACGGCTACAGGTTTTTTTTTTTGAGTTAATATTGTATTCTGCTACATTACTGAAAAGTGTTTATGAGTTGTAGAAGTTCCTTGGTAGGATTTTTGGGATCGCTTATGTAAACTATCACATCATCACCAAACAGTGAGAGTTTGACTTCTTCTTTTCTGATTTGTATCGCCTTGATCTCCTTTTGGTGTCTTATTGCTCTACCTAGGACCTCAATAGCTATATTGAGTAGATATGGAGAGAGTGGACAACCTTGTCTTGTTCCTGATTTCAATGGGATCGCTGTGAGTTTCTCTCCATTTAGTTTGATGTTGGCTGTTGGCTTGCTGTATATTACCTTTATTATGTTTAGGTATGTTCCTTGTATCCCTGCTGTCTCCAAGACCTTTATCATGAAGGGATGTTGTATTTTGTCAAAAGCTTTTTCAGCTTACAATGAGATGATCATGTGTTTTTTATTTTTCAGTTTGTTTATATGGTGGATTACATTGAAGGACAGCATTTTTTTTTTTAAAAAAAAAAAGAACCAATTGTATCCATGTGTGTGCGGAAGGGTTGGAATAACCTGGTAACATCTGGTCTTCCCCCCCCCCATTTTAGCAATATTTTCCAGACACGAGTATTTTTAAATTTTATTAATTTATTTTTTTTATATACCAATCCCACTTCCCCTTTCCTCTTCTCCTCCTGCCCCCCTACTCCTAATCTGCTCCTCAGAAAGGCTAAGGCTGCCCCTGGGAAGTCAACTAGGCCTGTCTCATCACATCACTGAGGCAGGATCAAGGCTTCCCACCCTGCCTGTGCCTAGGCTGAGCAAGGTATCTCTCCATAGAGAATATGCTCCACAAACTCAGCTCATGCCTTATGATCCTGGGATCCTGGGATCAGTGGGATCCTGGTCCCACTGCCAGTGGCTTCACACACTGCCTGAGTCACACCACTGACACCTGTCTTGGTAGGCCTAGTTAGGTCCTGTGCAGGTTCCCCAGTCCTCAGACTGGAATCAATGATCTTCCACTAGTTGGAGGGTCACCTGATTCTGTGGGTTTCCCCATCATGGTCTTGACCCCTTTGTTCATATTATCGTCCTTCTCCTGGCCTCCAGCTCCCCTCTGTTTCTGGAAGAGGGTTCTAGCTTCTCTGGGGTTACGGACTGTAGGCTGGTTATCCTTACTTTATGTCTGGTATCCACTTTTTACTGAGTAAATACTGTATTTGTCTTTCTGGGTCTGGGTTGCCTCACTCAGGGTGGTTTTTTCTAGTTACATCCACTTGCCTGCAGATTTAAAGATGTCATTTTTTTTATCACTGTGTAGTGCTCCACTGTATAAATGTGCCACATTTTCCTTATCCACTCTTTGGTTGAGGGGCATCTACATTGTTTCCAGGTTTGGGCTATGACAAGCAAAGCTGCTATGAACGCAGTTGAGAACATGTCCTTTTGGTGTGATTGTGCCTCTTTTGGGTATAAGCCAAAGAGTGGTATTGCTGGGTCTTGAGGTAGATTGATTTTTTTTTTTTTTTTTGGTTTTTTTCAAGACAGGTTTCTCGGCAGCTTTGGAGCCTGTTCTAGAACTAGTTCTTGTAAACCAGGCTGGCCTCAAACTCACAAGAGTTCCATTTTCCATTATCTTCTTTGATTTCGTTCTTCAGAGATTTAAAGTTCTTGTCATACAAGTCTTTCACTTGTTTGATTAGTGTTACTCCGAGATAGTTTATGTTGTTTGTGGCTATGGTGAAGGGTGATATTTTTTCTGAGTTCTTTCTCAGCCATTTATCATTTATATATAGGAGGGCTACTGATTTTTTTGAGTTAGGTTGTATCCTGCCACATTACGAAAGGCGTTTATCAGCTGTAGGAGTTCCCTTGTAGTTTTTGGGGTCACTTTTGTACACTATCTTATCACCCGCAAGTCATGAAGGTTTCACGTAGACAGAGACCGTGCTTGGTTTCCAGGCCTCCCAGACCCAAGCAATCGCACAGAGCTACCTACACTGATGACTGTGCTGTTGGGCAGACAGTTCAGGTGTGGTCCTAGCTGCCTCTTATATCTTAAATTAACCCATTTCTAGTCATCTGTGTATTGCCACGAGGCTGTAACCTACTGGGTAAGCTTTTGGCATCTTTCTCCTTTGGCAGCTCCATGGCTTCTGCCTGACCCCACCTTCTTTCCTCCTCTGTCTCTGCTTGGATTTCCTGCCTAGCTCTATCCCGCCTGCCATAGGCCAAAGCACTGATTTATTAACCAATGGTAATAAAACATGTTCACAACATTCAGAGGGGAATCCCACATCAGTTTGACTTCTTCCTTCCCAACTCGTATCCCCTGATCTCCTTTGTCTTATTGCTCTAGCTAGGACTTTGAGTTCTATACTGAATAGATATGGAGACTGGACAGCCTTGTCTTGTTCTTTATTTTTAGTGGAATCACTTTGATTTTTTTCTTCATTTAGTTTAATGTTAGCTTTTGGCTCGCTATATAGGCTTTATTATGTCTAGGAATGTTCCTTTCAGGCAATTGCTTTTCTAAAAAGATTTATTATGTATACAGTGTTCTGC